TCCCTGCTACTTGATTGATTTTTATCTAACACGCTTTGGATATTGGAACACGATTATCGGTTTTGTCAATAAGTATGAATGAACTGGAATCATGTGTTCTCCGAAGCGTGGATAAGTTTGTGTAATCTGTGGTCGCTCCGTTTTACATAGAAAACAATTTACTATAACGAACAGAATGTTTAAAAAAAACGCAACCCATGCGGGGATGTTTTGATTTACTCTAGCGCGGCAGAATAACATAAGAGGGCACCCTTGCACCTTGTGAAGTACTCCCATAATTCCTGAGCACCCTATGTAGAGTCGAACTAACTAACTAAATTAATTCCCTTGTTTCATTAATGTTCGTTAGTTATAGTACTTGTACACATTTAACTTAAAATAACTAAAGACCCCCGGGATGGAATTTGATGCGCTTTGGCACAGATGATCTTGACTATAATACCTTTCAAACAAATGTAGTTTAAGCCGTGGCGGACGTGGGTGCAGCGTCCATACATTTTTGCCCAATGTCCTTTAAAAAATCAAAAAACCCGACTGCTTAATTATTCTTCAAATAAAAACTGAAAAGAAAAAAACAAGTCCAGTAGTCTATAATTCTGTTAATAAGGAACAAAGCTACTTTAACAGTCGGGACCCACTGTTGAAAAATATTATGTATTCTTGAATATCTAATGGGTTTATAGACTACAGAATTATAGACTACTGGACTTGTTTTTTTCTTTTCAGTTTTTATTTGAAGAATAATTAATAAGTCGGGTTTTTGATTTTTTAAATTTACCTTTTTTTTACGTTACTTTTATTAGTCATAGGCGTATTTCATTTGTGTTTTTTTTCCAGATACTAAATAAATATTAGAATAAATTCAGATATCCAGAACCCATATTGTAACTAATTTTAGTTATACCTGTACTTACTTATTCAAATTAAAGTTATAATGTACGGGAATGATGCCACATCATTACTTGTTTCTTAATTTATGACCCTTGATTTGCTAGTTCGATGGGCACGTAAATGGTCAAAACGTTGGTCAGTTATTTTTTTTTATATATAATCACACACTGGATTGCGAACGAACTTCTTCATAAATTTGATTTTTTATCAGGGCATTGACTTGGTTTCGTGGTTTAATTTGAATCCCATGCAAACATGAGTCATTTGCAAAGCACACGAGTGCTGCATCTACTAAAACGTAAAACCACACTCATACTTATGGGTCAAACAAGAGGGCTAATGATATTTACAGTTTATTATGGGGATATGTTTATTTTTAAATTAAGTATATAACTTACCGAGTAAATTGCATTAAAAAAAACATTCAAATAAAAAATAAAACATGAAATAGAATTTCGGGGTTTATCGCCCCTGAAAATATGTGAATAATAAGAGTCATAAGTTTTGGAAAACCTTACCTGCATTGCTGATCCTAACGTAAGTAGCTGATCAGCACCTGTTACAGCACATGACATAGAAGGCTTGAACTCAAATATAGATCAAAATAGATACCTAACACAAGTGTATGTACAACGCCTGCCAAAAATGAGAATGGTCATCCTTTTACGCTAATTTATTTGAATTGAATGTAATCCTTAAATAATATCTAAATATGTCGTCATATTAAGCTGTAAAATTCTATGATGGACCGGGGCCCATGATTTTTCTTCAATTATTTGTTCCAGTGAGTACTCAAAATTTGTCACGCTCGGCTTCCATACAATTTGATCTACATGCGACGCGGTATCTACTTCAATATAGTTCTGTGCTTGAACTCTTATAATTGATTTTCGATATATTGTGATTGTCTTCTTCTGAGTTACATAGGTTTTATTGCAGAAGAGTAGGGACACATATACACAAATCAGATACTAAATAGGAAAAAAATATATCATTCCTCCTAAAAATTAAAGTAAGTTGATCTAGGTCTCCCATTTCTGTATCTATCTTATACAGAACCACAAAGGTGGTGCCACCATAAAACCTGCCAGTTATTCAACCAAAGGAGGTCATCAACATGAAGGTGAAGACAAAGGAGCCCGTCTATAGTTGGGAAGATACAGGCATTTGCAATAAATTGTGATGCGGCTCACGCGTTACTCAAGGACAGTTATGTCTCCACTCCAGTCTTTATCTAAGCTGTAATGGTAGCCTGAATCAATCACTTCTACTTAGAAAAAAATATATTAAAGAGCTTATATTATGATTTTCATTAAGCGTTTGTCTGGTCGAATTTTATATCTAAAGATATTTTTTTTATTAAAAGAAAGTAGTTTTAGCTCGTATCTCCTACATTAACTTTAGTTTCGCGTAACCCTTCATTTTCCTACTACTACGTATTAGAAAACTTGAGGAAAAAAGGTGGGCGAAATCGGTAAAGTCGTCCTTAAGTGACACCTATTTTTTCCACTATTCTAATAAATTTCAACTTCCATTCAATTAACTTGAATGGAAGTTGAAATTTATTGGAATAAATAAAGAGAGATTGAGAAAAAAAGAAGAGCATAGCAGGACTTAGAGAGGTAGGCCATAACAGATTTCCGGCGTGAATTGTAGCGGCGGTTTCGATACTGGTATCACAAACGTCTATTCAGGAGCATGTGCTCGTTTGCCACTTTTATTGTTACACTAGTGGCCCGCCCTCGCTTCGCTTCGGTGTAGAGCTGTAGTGTAAACTATAGTTTTTGTTCTCAGGCTTGTGCTATAAAGAATGACTTTATTTATATAAATACACGTGTTATTGTGAGTCAACCATAAAAGATAGACATATGCTGTTGCGTTATATTTTTTAGACAATTTTATGTAGAATATTTCCGTCATACATGATTTCTATGTAACTTTAACCATTAAGGCTGCACCCGCGACGGAAGCTTAAAAAATGGAGTAACTTCCCCCGTTTTCCCAACATTTCCCTTCACTACTCTGCTGCTATTGATTGTAGCGTGATGAAAAGTATACTATAACCTGCCCAGGAGTATGAAGAATAATTGTACCAAGTTTCGTTAAAATCCGTTGAGTAGTTTTTGTTTCTATAAGGAACATACACACAGACAGACAGACAGACAGACAGACAAAAATTTTACTGATTGCATTTTTGGCATCAGTATCGATCACTAATCACCCCCTGATAGTTATATTAAAAATATATTTCATGTACAGAATTGACATCTCTACAGATTTATTATAAGTATAGATAAAAAAGAAATCAATAGACACGGATTACATTAAAATTCGCATAATATAGTGAATTATTTCAATAAAGCTCGTAAACATGGCACAGAGTTCTTTATATAGAAAATGAGCAATACGGCAATACCAATGTTTGTTAAACAATGAACTCTCGTTGTATTAATTACTCAAATAACTGAGGATAAAGAAGGATTTCTTTATCCTCATCCTCAAATTTATTCAATTTTGTAGTGCCTACTAGGTATTGAATCCCACTTAATAATTATTATAAATGTAAAAGTTTGTATGTTGCTACTCAATCACACAAAAACCGCTGAACGGATTTGGATTAAAACATTACACACACAGCTTATAACATAAACAGAGGAAACCTTTTATCCTTGAAAATTGTAAGGTTCCTGAGGAATTTCCAAAAACTTAAATTAAAGCGGATGAAGTCGCAGGCGGCCGCTAGTTGTGAAATATAGGTAATCTAATAGAAACAGTAGGTAACAGACCATCCATATAAGTAAGTCATAGTTCTTGACAGAGAAAATGAGTCATGTTTGTGTTGGTTAAACATATTTATAAACTCGTATAAGCTTTGTATTGTATGTAAAGATAAGATGGTTTTACGGTTTTATAGCATTTTACTGGGAAAATTTACAGGTACATGGCATAAATGCATCAGAAACTTTGCTGAATAATATGCTAATAAGATTTTTTAGCTTTAAACGATTTTTTCTTATATAATTGGTACTCTAAGAGCAAGCGGGAATCCCGCGCCGTGCCCCGCTTAAGGCAGTGCAGGCTCTTAGATACACAAATGAACATAGAAGTACTTCGCTGTTATAAAAAGAAATGTAACATTTTGTATGACCAGCAGTGCTATTCTGTAAGAACAAACTCACTTCTCACCGCAGTGTGATTTGAAGTTAGAATACGAATTTCAAATCACACCTTAACCGTCTGTCCTTACCAAATATTACGCTGTTACTTTATCAAGTTATAAGCATACTTACAAGTTTTATGAATACTATGTTATTTGTCACTGGTAGCGTATGTGTATAGCTTCGTATTATTTATGTGCCAAGGAACTAATAAAATTTATTAATGTCACACGGTTACATTTATTTATGGCGTTGAATTGTTGATGGGCGTTAATGACAATAGGTGGGTAACCTTGCTAAGAGAGATGGTATCAGACAAGACGTAACTCGTGTTCTCGTCGAAATATGTTCTAATTTTCAAATATTTTAATAATTAAAAAAAAATTGGAAAACGCTAACCATTTTTTTTTTTGGAACTGGACTGGACTGAACTTAGACTCCCGCAACATGGAAACTACAATAAAAAATACACAACTAATTTGCTACAGCCATCTATGTTTATCCGACTGAAAAATAATTGGAGCAGCCGGTTTACGTTTGCACTGACAAATTAATATTGCTTTTGTATTAAGCATCAACAGGGTGGCATAATAATAAGGCTAAACTATCGTTATTGAACAAATAAAAAACCTGAAAACAATAAGCTTATGGCAACCTGGTGATCTTTTAGTTTATAGTTATCATGCACTCTTTACATTACGCTCGGTATATAATTAATCTATCTAAAACGTAGTTCACTAACTAGCGATAAAAAAAAATATCAATACTTTGAATCGACTAAGAACTTCTTTAAAAGAAATATTAAAAATAAAAAACTGCTATTCGATTTCCAAATTGATAAAAGTTTTCTTCACCGAGTGTAATGTCTCTAACACCCATACCGTTCATGAAAATAACAGGAGTCCATATCCGTCGTGGATACGGCAGTTTGACCATGACGCCTACTTCCAGATGTACCTAGCGCAGTACGGATACCTCAGTCCGTCCGTAAGGAACCCCTCCAGTGGCCACATCATGGATGAGAGCTCGTGGAGGCGCGCCATTGCCGAGTTCCAGAGCTTTGCCGGTTTGAATGCGACAGGTATTTTGATATTACTTTAACTATTATTTATTAATTAAATTACTCTGAACGTGCTCTTTAAGTTTATGCGAAACAATTACAATAATATTAAGGATAATTTCAGTAGAAAATATCATTTAAATTTCTTCTAGCCTTTTTGGAGTAACCGAGCCCAACGTTGCAAAGGATAAATAGATATCTAAATTTCAATTGACTATATCCAAATGAAAACACAATCAATAAAATCACAGTCTAACTCATATAAGATCCTGGATAATGCAGTTTTGTAATAAGAATCAAAACTAATAAATGAAAAAAAATAATAGAGTAGAGACAGATAAAATTATATAAGGATTAAAGGATAATAATTAACAATTATGAAATTAGTTTTCCTTTTAGGATATTTACTTAGGCTAGCTAATGCTCTGAACAGAAACAACTCAAACACAGAAAAAATAAATGAAGATATAAAATCAAATGATTACATAAAAGAAAAACAATATGAGTTATTAAGATAAAGATTATTAAGATTTCGGTAGACCTGTTATTGTTTACCTACCGATACTGGTGCTATTTTCTTAAATGAAGTTAATGTTGTATACCTCGCGGTTTTTTATTTTGCAATGAAATAAATATATAAGAAGTCTTGGAATATTCTTGAAATGAATAGTTACATCTAAGAATATATTCAATAACATAAAAGGAAATAGAATAGATGTGTATGTAATTACCGTTGTTAATAATAGTTAAGGTAACAACGTCGAGGAAATACACAATTACACTATTATAAAATCCTTAGATGTCACAGACAATATTTTATATCGACTGACAACACGAATAAAAGTTATTCGCTGAACACGCACTGTTATTTTTTATTAAATATAATGTAAGAAGCAATAATCTTTTCAGAAAATAACGTTGAAATTGGTTTCGTAACAACTGATTACAGTTCAATCTCAGTTAGGCCAATAAAGAAAATGCATACAACTTATTGTCTTTACTTTTAAGTCTGGACAATTTTAGTAATGTTTTTAGTTATTCAATACTAAAAACATGTGCAGTATTAATAAATTTCACGTGATCACTGTGTTTCGTGTTTCATTTTACATTTCCTCATTCAGAATTTATTTGTAATTGGATTGATATTATGTAAGTTAGTACAATCAACGGCCTATGAAAGTGACTTAATTACTTACAGTGTTAAGACACAATTTAATTACATTATAAAACAGTTGACCAATTCCTAATAGAATGAAATCACCTAAATCAAAACTAATGCTCAATGCAACCTGATTTTGTAAACCCCGTTAAAAAAAGTCACAAATTGCAAAATAGTCTAAATTGCTGTTCGTTCACTGACCTAACTAATTGCATTGAATTTATTAACGGAACTTTAGCTCTGAAGTCAGTTGCAACAAAAAGTTTTCTGATAAGCACAAGAAGTCATACTACCTACTGAAAAATAGTAAGATTTATCATTTTTTCTACTAATATTAATCCAAATGTCACTATTTTTCTTTGTATGTCTGTTTTTAACGTTTTCACACCTACATTAAAATATCACTACGTAGAATAAATAAGCCACGGGCTTGCAGTGGCAGTGCTGAATATAAAATCGTATCATACAATGTAAAATATGGATGTTAGTTTTCTTGTTTCAAAAGTGGGTTGTTTTCATCCGGTTATAAGATTTTTCAGGGATTACGATTTCAAGACGTGTGTAATAAAGATATTTATAAATAATCCTTTGTACTACTAGCTAATACTATTACAATGATAATACGATACTTGATATACATACTTTTTTGTACGTACGCTTAATTTATTGCCCGTGCACTATTGATCCACTTAATCAACAGGTGTTATAGAGGAGCATAACGATATTGGAAGAGCAATATTAACCACAAATAACTACAATAACAATAACTAACACTCAAGTCATTAAAAAATAGTTTCGATTCAAACGCTAATCTAAAATCTTTCGGTAGGCAGTTACACGGTAACATGACTTGAGTGTTAGATTTCAAGGGTTTACGTAATTTTCTCACATCCGCGGCACCATGACCTTGTCCAGTCGTGAGCGCTAGGAGCCCTGCCTGGTCACTCATTAATCCTAATACTATAATTCTGTGACCCTGAAGTCTCTGTGCTGGCAGCATGTCGCTGTCACAGTTACGTATAAGAAGGTTTTACTAAAGTGAAGACGATATTATGATGTTTTAAAAGGATTATTTTCACGATAAAGTACCGTTAAACATGCGTTTATGAACTTGTGAATTTTCAGTGCAGTTTTTTTTATAACATTTTATTAATATCATTTGTTGGATCACCGTAGCCACTGGCTTACTAAACGATTAGCTCTCGGTAACCGCATACGTGCCTTGACACGAGAAGTAGTTTATTGGTCTTGACAGTGGGCATAGCTATTATGTAAGCAAATAACGCAGACACACGTTACATTTAATGCATAATTCAAAGGCGGTCAGTGCACGTAGAGCTTCCATGCGCTCGATTACGGCAGAACATTCCTAATGATGGCATTAGAAACAAAACTTGGCCTATACATAAATAAAATACCCGTAAGCCGAATGTAGGGTTTAAAACTAAAACACGTCTTTTAGAATTAATTATTCGCAAACCTGTTGTAGTACCTAAACTTTTAAAAAATCTAGATAATCAAAGAAACAGAATTGTTTTAGAAACTATTGCAGGGTGGAAACTTCTTTGTTTTATAAAATTTAATGTGTTTAGGTGACTTTAGAGATAACACATTTTTGTGGATTAATTTTTATTATGCTAATACATAATACTATTTGCCTTTCATACTTATTTGTCACTTTAGTAATACAGAAAGATTTAGGAATTTCATTCAATGTCATCCCAAGTAGTAAATAAAACTTTATATTGAAATTGGATGCATAATACAACAACACTTTTTTATTTATAGGCAATTCTGAATGTTAGTCATATAAATTTGCTTTATAGGAAAAAAGATGAGCAACACACAAGTCGCCTTTACATAACAGTTTTACTAACGCAAATGATAATTCAACTTGGAAGTCATACACAATCTAGTCATAGTTACAAAACTTAACGAAGCATACCTTGCTGGGTGGTAAAGTTGTAGTAAAATATATCAGCTTGCCTTATCCTAAGACATGGCATGGTTTCTCAAAACTGACTTGGGCTTCTTTTAAAAGACAAGGCGCCATGCGAATGTCTTAATACCTAAAAAAAATACAACCTAAAAGCAGTTATTTTTTTCATTTTCTTTCCACTATTCATCTATTCGCATAGGCGATAATGTAACCAAATATGCATTGTTCCTGCCGTTGGGATATTTCCGCGTGTGGCTCTCGATGTGTTTGTGTGATTACTTCCTCATCATCACCGTCCACAGTCATTTGACGCACAAAAACTTCATTTAGTGTGTCGACAATCATCTTTTTTGACCACAACGACTAATAGTGTTTTTAAGTGTTTTTTTTTTACTCGAACACAATGACCACGCTTATGTCAAGTATTTGTTTACTGAAAATAAATGCTGAATGACAATTTTTATTCATACTGTGTGCTTTTTATGAGTAATTTTACAATAGAACTTTGCACTGTGAAATTTTACAAGAAAATTTATGTTTAAAAAAGTTCAGGAAAACTTTGCAGTTTATGAGAATTGTTAAAAAGTTGAATCATAAAAATTCTTATGAAGTTTGATTTCCATGTCGTACATGTTGGTCAGAAGAGATTCAATTGTTCTTTGTTTATATTATTATTTACCGCAACTTTAAAAACTTGATATCCTTTATACGAATGTTTTTTAAAATATTAGCAATGAAAATTTAATCCTTTTTTGTTTTCAGGCGAAATAGATAAAGAGACTGCTGATACTATGTCATTGCCCAGGTGTGGTGTGCGAGATAAAGTGGGTTTCGGGGAAAGCCGTGCCAAACGATACGCGTTACAAGGTAAGCCATATTCCAAGGTAAGATTACGGCAAGTTACAATGGTATTCCACTATGATTTCAGTATTCCGTTGGGTATATAATAGCGGAACAATAGCAATGAAAGGGAGCAAGGACTAATTTTGCTTATCTATTCAAAGTTAACATTTGAAATCCTAAACAAATATTTTTTATTAAATAAGCTTGCTGGCATATAATCTGTGTAATGTTATTTTTGTTACACAAAAGAATCAATAATAGTCCGTTTTGAGTCTGAAATATTAGAATAGCATGTCCTTGGCTTATGAAAACACTTATCAAAAGGGATCAGAAAGAGCTGACCTTGTCAGAAACAAATATCTTCTAGTTTCAAGTACACCTCTTTTTCATAACCTTACTTAGGTTGCGGCGGTCAACTAATTAACAATGTAGATTTTTGTATTTCATTAAATTTAGCAAAGAAAACAATTGCTCTAAATTTTATAGGATAACTATTGTCTTATTAGCTCTCTCTATATAAAGCAACAGTTCAATTAACAAAAGATCGAAGATTGGAACCTCATTATTTGCTGAAAACAATGATATTGTAGAAGTTCGGTCTTGTTTCTACAAAAAAAGTTGTTATCACTGGAAGAACTAAAAAATATGTTCTATTTCTGAAAAATGCATTTTCATTCGATTTGTAATATTGGAAAATCCAACCTTATGTTATCTCAAAATAAATAAGGTTGCGTGACCTCTTTGCAGGTTCCAGATGGCGTGTGAAGAATCTAACGTACAAGATCTCCAAGTACCCGAGTAAGTTGAACCATGCCGAAGTGGATGCTGAGCTTGCGAAGGCGTTTTCAGTGTGGTCTGACTATACAGATCTCACCTTCACACAGATGAGAACCGGCCAGGTGCACATTGAAATCAGGTAGGATTTGTAAATGTTTGCTTAAAGACGTATTTTGCATACTATCGGTCTTACTGAAAAAAACCTAAAATGGTTTTAAACCTTGTTTAAGCAAATTTTGTATGACATATTTTCTTAAACTAGTGAACGCAATTCTAACTTTTTTGTGGTAAGAAGGTATATTTTTTAAGTTTTTATGCTTACGACTAGTCTGATAAGCGTTATCCCCAAAATCATCAGTGTCTAATTTCTCGTCTATGAATTTTAACTGCAACGAACTGTATAAAAAATGTTAATAAAGACAAACGCCTCAAAGCAACACTCATTATGTGATTTATAAAAACTAGGTAAAGGGTACGGTTATGAATCTATGTTTAGGTCACCGTAAAAAACGATTATTATCCGCAGATTGAACGAACACATCAAAATCGGAGAGTACACATACCACTATTGTGCGGCAGCATTTGAATAGGTAATAATACGTTTACTGTAACAATCCCCCGGCAATCTGTGTTGCGTAACGAACACAAATTGTTGTCATTCGGAACGCTAATACCTTGCCTACTACATCGACAATTACATACGTACATGTAATGTTATGTTGTATTGCCGATGATACCTTGTGATCGCATCTGAACAACGTTTGAGAGAACTTTACTTCGAAATTGCGTGTAAAGATTTTATTGCTGTCTAAGGAATTCTAGAAGGAAGGCGACACGACAGTTAAGATCTCGGTACTAGGTTTTGCGGACATCGCATTTAAAAGCTTGATAACCGCTTAAACTAGAAAAATCTAGACTTATTACCACACAAAGGTTAGATATGCGTTCAAGACGAGTTTAAGAAAAAATGCCATACAAAATTTGACAAGTTTTGAAAAATTTTTTGTAGTTAAACCAAAACTAATATGTTTAAAATAAAAATATTATAGTGTGGATACACATTTGAAATTTTCACAGAATTTGGGGACCCTCTACATGTTTTATATAGTTTTTGCTCGACATATTGTCAATGTTGGGTGCAAGTTGAAGTAGCATTGGGCCGATTGTTTTTATCGTAAATTTATTCTTGTAAGAGATTGAAATAAAAATTAATGGTGATAAATGGAAACCTTTGGGTTGTTCTAAATTTTATAGTCCCAAGGTCTATTTTCCTATCATGGTTTTGGTTAAATTTACTATTGTTTGTTACAGGTTTGAGAAGGGAGAGCATGGCGACGGTGATCCTTTCGATGGCCCCGGTGGCACCTTGGCCCATGCGTATTTCCCTGTAAGTTGAAAGCTTAATAAATAAATCTATTATATTATATAACAACAGCATTGCAATGGAAGATTACGCCAGTTAATCACCCGTTCAATCACCACTTACAAACATATTTCATTTCGTCTGGACTAGTTATTAATTTAAATACAAAATTCATGAATGAATAAGTCAAGGACAGTGTTGAAATATTAATAATTATAGCCTGGCCACGATCCATAGGACTTCGTGATTTCGGAAGTGTCAATTTCGGCTCTCTTCTCTCTAAGGGAGTTATAGATCTTTGGGCTTAAAATCTTGCACACTGCTTGAACGTACATAACCAGTCAATCATATATAATGTAACTGTAGTTCGTGCGAGTAATCTGTTGTTTCCTACCTATAAAGTACCCAAAGTTCACAGACTCCTCAATTTTCCAAATGGTTGTTGATTTTGAAATATTTTCATTTCTACATTATTACTTTTTATTCATATTGTGCACTATGATGATAGTTTAAAACCGGATATAACACATTATACTGTCAACGGCAGTGAAAGCGCTGTGAAGTAAAAATAACAATATTCAGTTTGTAAACATATTTATGACAAACGCATGATGGTGTTAAATTGTTGTCAAAGCGATGTATCCCCAATTGTAGATATTGCTGAGCAAAGATTGCGCTTGCTGTATAGTGAATTTATTCAATATGTAAATGTTTTCATTGAATATCTGAAACCTATCATTACTTAACGAATTTTTTATCACTTTATTTTTAAAATTTATTTGTCTTCCTTTTACGAAAAAAAAAATAAAAAACCACGGACAAATAAACTTGCGCAGTAGACGTTTTTGTATGTAAAATTGCTACTGCGCTAGCTTCTTTCTCTCTGGTCGTTGCTCAAGAAGTTTGCCGGGGTGCATAATAATGATGGATGTTTAATGTTTTGTTTAGGTTTACGGCGGTGATGCTCACTTTGATGACGCTGAGATGTGGACGATCAACTCTCGACGAGGAACAAATCTCTTCCAGGTACGATTACTTTCGGTTTCTTTTCTATAGAAATATTCAATTTATAGCAATCATTTATCTTTTCAAAAAAGTTTGTTGTGTTATTAGATTTTTAAGAATTCACAATAATTGATATTAAATTAATTAAAACCTTTTAGTAAAATTCCTTAAAATTAAATAAAAAATATTTATTGATTGGTCGAATTTGTACGAAGAGTAAAGTTAAGTCTTTTATCAATATTACTTTTTTCTGGTTGATTACTCTAAAGACCAACTTGTTCTTGTTATATCCACCTTCCTAATGCAATTACAAAGCTTTTGTCTCTATAATTATCAACGACACAAATGATACAGGGTATTTCCAAGAGAATTATAATCGATATTCATTTTACACTACAATTTATTTATAAAAACATTTGATTTTTGCAAAACACCGCACACTGATAAGTCCGTAATTGGTAGTATTGTTTTTTTGCTGCATTTTAATAAAACTGAAGATTTTTTCAAATCTTGTAATGGATTTATTAGCCTTTTGGTGTTGTGTATAAATTCATGAACTTTCAGACAAAGATAAACATTATTGGTAATAAATTAATAGCAAAATTAATAACAAATAATTCAAAAGTTTAACAACTTCGTTGAGGACTCCGATAGAAACTCTGATACTTGTGGTTCAGTTGGAAAAACAGCAGGTTCAGTCTAGATTCAAGTCGACTGTTAGTATAATCATGTTTGTATTATTTTATGTTTTGCATTGTTTATTGATTAATTTTTTGATCTTTTTCAGGTGGCCGCTCACGAGTTCGGCCATTCGCTGGGTCTATCACACAGTGACGTACGCTCTGCCCTGATGGCTCCCTTCTACAGAGGATACGACCCTGCCTTCCAGTTAGACCAGGACGATATCCAGGGTATTCAGGTAAATATACATACACGATCCTCATCAACCTATTAGTGTCGGTACTGCTGGAGTATAGGTATTTCCTGTAGGTGGAATAGAGAGAATGCCATGACTCATCATGAGGCAAAGATGGGTGCTAACGACTGCAGCTGCAGCTGGCAGATGTCGCGTACTTACATCTACATTTCTATCGATTACCCTGGTGTCCAACACAAGCCTAGCAGTGCTTACTTTGGGACCTGGTGTTGTGACAATGGCTGAGAAACAATGCCATGCCGCCTTGTGTACTTTGTCTTGAGTTTCATACACAAGTGTGATATGGCAGGCTCAAAGTCAGGTCCGGGTTTTACACCCAGTCACATAGGCGGGGCACGCCAGTCTCGTCAATATTTGCGAAGCTCAACAATAGATAGTCTATCACTATGAGCTTGAGTCTAATACGTGAGCGTGGTATGGCAAGCTCTGTACTGTGTCTTATGGTCAGACCCAGACGGTCATAAGCGGAGGCGGAAATGCGCCGGTCCCGTCAATATTTTCGAAGCTCAATATCAATTGTCCTGCAACATGAGTGCTTAAAGTCTAACACGTGATGATATAACTTTGAGCTTGAGTCTAACGTTGAGCTCTGTAACAGGCTCTGTATGGCCACGAGACTCAGACGAACATAGGCGGAGGAGTACCACCCCGCCGGTCTCTTCTATAAATTTTCAACTCTAGATAGACCTTCGTTATAAGCTTGAGTCTTGTATTCTGCTCTGTAACAGACTCTGTACAACCACAAGACCGTTGACATGTTGATTTCTCTCTATTCGATTGGTGACTGCGTCTAGTGGCTTGACTTAGCCACTTGTGGTCGCGTTTAGTGGCTCAATGTGCGCTTGCTTTAATATTCCGCTCTGTAACAGACTCTGTACAGCAACAAGACCGTTGACACGTTGATTTCTCTCGATTCGATTGGTGGCTGCGTCTAGTGGCTTGACTTAGCCACTTGTGGTCGCGTTTAGTGGCTCAATGTGCACTTGCTTTAATATTCCGCTCTGTAACAGACTCTGTACAGCCACAAGACCGTTGACACGTTGATTTCTCTCGATTTGATTGGTGACTGCGTCTAGTGGCTTGACTTAGCCACTTGTGGTCGCGTTTAGTGGCTCAATGTGCGCTTGCTTTAATATTCCGCTCTGTAACAGACTCTGTATAGCCACAAGACGGTTGCCACGTTGATTTCTCTCGATTCGATTGGTGGCTGCGTCTAGTGGCTTGACTTAGCCACTTGTGGTCGCGTTTAGTTGCTCAATGTGCGCTTGCTTTAATATTACGCTCTGTACCAGGCTCTGTACGGCCACAAGTCGCAGACGGACATAGGCGGCGGTGTTGGCTTAGGCGGAGGTGCGCCGGTGCCCCCGCGCGCCACCACGCAGCAGCCTTCCGCCGAGGACCCCGCGCTCTGCGCCGACTCTAAGTTCGACACCATCTTCAACTCCGCCGACGGAGGCACTTTCATATTCAAAGGTAATACTTACTTCTTATTGAAAATACATGGGTAGGTAATCATCATCACTACTGGGGCACAGGCCTTCCCTATGGATGGAATAGGGAGATTGGGCCATGATAGGTAATATGAATTTTAATAAGGAAGAAGCCCACACGGTTCATGAGGTACACTATCACAGAAGTAAATAAAATCTAAATGTAATATAAAATCCAAATTTAGGTAAAGGTAGCAGCAAATTTCTAGAGCAAAACCACACACAAAATATAAACTAGCGCAGTAGACGTTGTTGTATGTAAAAATATTAATGCGCAGGCTTTCTTGTCTATGGTCGATGCTCAAGAAGTTTACCGGGGTGTATACATACATACTTAGGTACTTAAAAATATAATTGTAAAAATTGGAGAACTTTATTGTGGAGGATGTCAAATATACAAAAAAGCTTCTACATATCTGAAAATATTATTACCCACAAGGACTTATAATGTTAGCCTTGTGAATTATTAACAAGAAAAACACTCTCATTCATTTGCCATAGAATAACTTTTTCATCGCACGATAATGGTTCTAATATTGAAATAAGAATGTTTTAAATAAGCCGTTAGTATGACTATGTATTTTCACCGTAGGTGAACACTATTGGCGATTGACCGAAGACGGTGTAGCCGCCGGCTACCCGCGGCTCATATCGCGCTCTTGGCCCGGCCTACCCGGCAACATCGACGCCGCTTTCACTTATAAGAACGGCAAGACTTACTTCTTCAAAGGCTCCAAGTACTGGAGGTACAAAGGGCAGAAGGTCGACGGGCAGTATCCTAAAGAAATTAGCGAAGGTACGTTTTTTTTACTATATTTTTATTTTTTAATCGTTTAACGGCTTGTTTTTTAAACCAAAAGCAAACGGTCCTCGAACCTGCACCCTCCGCTATCCGGGTGGATACACTGACATAACGGATGATAAGCTCTTGTTTTAGAAAATCAATAGGGATGACAACTGCTTATTTTTTTATAAGTGTCTAAAATGATTGGATACATATTTTTGCTTTATTAACATAATCAAAACATTACAGAGATATATTGATTTGAAATGTCGCATGTCGCATTCTGTTTACTCAGAAGTGACATCACGAGCCCCCAGTCACAAACTTTAACGCGCTTTATCTTTGTGATTTTTTGATTAATTGGAAAAAGAAAAAACAAGTGTCCATTATTTTTTTAGGGCTACCCTTCGATCAATAATTCTATAGATTGCATACAAAAACTGTCCGCCTATGTTTAAACTTATGCAGCTATATTCGATTCCCAACGAACAAAAATAAATGTTTTAAAACAGTTAAAGTTGAGCCTAATAACAACTATCTCACAAAGGAATAAGGTTACAAATAACAAAATGTTAATTTGCACATATGACCTTTTATCTTGTAAAACGAACTCTTGTTCCTTTTATAAATCATATCTGATACTTGGAAAAAAATCGATAAAGGTGACAAAAGGAAAATATGAAATCAACCTTATGACCCAGAAAAAAAAATATCAGTCATTTGGTCAGCGAGTTACTTCGTTTTGTATTAACCGAACTAATTTAAAATAAGTACCTACGCCTCAAGTGAAGCTATATTTACCGAGACGGATTTTACGCGCTGACCCGTTATCTATAGAATTGGTGATCGAATGGTCTAAATGTGGGACTAATTAAAATTGCTTTTACTATACCCCGTCGTCATCCTTATTATCTTTCTATCTGTCTGTTACCCATACACCAATGATTTCAATTCATTTTATAACAATTTCTCCAACGCTTAAATTATAATAACAATCTAATAGTAAGTACTTTCATCTGTATATTTTCTACTTTTTCAGGTTTCACTGGTATTCCTGACAATCTCGACGCTGCTTTAGTCTGGTCTGGCAATGGCAAGATATACTTCTACAAAGGCTCGAAGTTCTGGAGGTTCGACCCAGCTCAGCAGCCACCAGTCAAATCCACATACCCCAAGCCGTTGTCCAACTGGGAAGGCATTCCGGATGGCATCGATGCAGCTCTGCAGTACACTAACGGATACACTTACTTCTTCAAGGGTGGTCAATACTGGCGGTTTAATGACAGAACTTTCAGTGTAAGTTATCAAGGAGTAAATTACTATTTATTACAAGATGGCATCCAACGCACGGCTTAGGTTCTAAACATTCGTTTTACCTATAGCTAACACAGTCACCCAGACTAGATATTTTATAGAAATTCTTATTTTTATTAAAATGACCCTGAACCTTAAAAGTAACGACATGCCATGTTTGAGTTTTTCGAGTTTGAGATACCGTGAAATTGTACTCTTTTAGGTAAAAGTCTTATATAATATTTATTTATATTCACTTGCATACACATAATATAAACGCATAGCATATCAGCATTTTTACAATCAGTACAGCAATATTGAAAAAAGTTTGTACTAGCTATGCCATCAATACGAAAAAGGAATTTTGTCTTTCGACCTTTTTTATTTAGACATTTTTACACTACAAGTACTCATTGGAGTAGTAGCCTGTTCGAAATTAAAAATTTGTTTTGCATCTTTATTCAGGTGGACTCAGATAACCCAGCGTTCCCTCGGTCCACGGCGTACTGGTGGCTGGGCTGTAGCAGCGCGCCCAAGGGCACAGTCGGAGGTAACGCGCGTCTCACGCACACCGAGCCCTCGGAGGATGATGTCGGAGACATACTCTTCGACGCAGGTAGGTTCAGGGCCCAGGACGCGTTCAACGGACTAAAGTGGTTGGGTCTAACGCAATGTTGTAGTTGAAGAACTCGGATACAAATCAAAAGTCTCTGTAGGACGATTCTGGTAAATACCACTTCGGAGTTGGGTAGCTATAATTTTAGATATTCTTCTACAGCCTTTTTTCGTGCTCATTTCAGCTCCCTCCGGAAGTTCTGAATAACCCTGATAGTTTCCGCAGTTCTCAAATTTAAGGCGTTTGAATGTGAAAAATATAAAATATCGCAGTGACTGTTGAAGCTTCGGAAGTTGAAGTCATGGACACAGGATTTCTTTACAGTTTAAGCAGCCAGTTATAGATATATTTGACAATCGCCAAAAATACGGATTATCGAAACCGAAAGTCAGATTACATGTTACAGAATCGATGATGTGCAGATATTTTTACTTGAAAAGAAAATGGTAACAGTACCTAAGTTATCCAAAATCGATAAGAATTGAAAATATACAACATTTCGTTAGACACAAACACAAGCAAACGAGATTTCGTATTTGGCTACGATGAGGATCTAATTGACACCGATTCCACTGTTAACTGTTCGGTCCCTTGTCTGTCTTTCATCTATGTGAATGTTAGTGTTTCCATAATTTATGTTATTATGTGTTAATTTGATGTATTGGTTCTTCTTTCTCATCTGTTGTGGGAGTTTATTTGTAATTCTTGTAAACTTCAATCAACGTAAACCTCTTTAATCTTTTTGAACTTTGTGTTTTACCGTATTTTTTGTTAACTATGATGTTTAGGACCATTTATGTACTTACATGTTAAAATTTGATTTCATATCTTCAAACTGTTTAACAAAGGGTCTTTTCATCAGTATCTTTATCAATTTAACTTTCTGGTACTAATAGCTCGAGATCCTGTCGCTTGATTCTACTGCTATCTGTATCTGTAAAAAAATATATGGCTACAGAATCAAGTGGCGGGATCATAAGGTATATATCGATAAGGTATGGACTATAATCTAATTAGAGCAACTAACCTACTAAAATATAACACACTATCTTATTTTTTCAAATTAATGTAATAATAATACTAACATACTACTATCTTTTTTAGAAAAATGATTGTTTACTATTAAACAAAGTAAATAAGCATTTAAATGTCAGTATGGGAAACGTCAGCATTAAGTACTAAAGTTTTTCTTAGTTTCATCCGTATTGGATCTTGATGATGATTATAAATTATATCAATAGCTGTGTCCGAACACATCCAATATTAAGTGTGCAAACAGACTAACAACTTTGTTTTGGTTAATTTGGCAACTTTTTATAATAATGCCAAGATCTAGAAGTTAACAAACGTGTTTCATACTGACTACACTTATAATGTTGGTTGATTGGATTTAACAATGCTACTGGTGATAGAGCAGCAGTGGTAGACGGTGATCATTCGAACATCGACGACGTGGCTTCTGGGCACCAAGAACCTACCTGGATCGCAGTGGTAAAAATTGTAGTAAAAACCGAGAGAAATCATAAAGTTCCGAATATGAGACGGAAACATATACTACAAATTTTAATCACTGTTAACATACAAAATATTATAAGTCTTTGTTTCTAATGAAAGTAATTTTAGAACACGTAATTTTAAAAGCACAATGCATTATGAAATATTTTGTTTTTGTATTGAAACACTTGTGAATAGCGCACATTACTATTCACTGGCACTGTTGACACGTTGTTAATTATGATTGTTTAATTTATGTGTATTAATACGAGGCGTCTTTGAAATCGACGTTGGTTGTAAAATCGATGAAAAACAAAGTTTCATATTAACTTAATGATTGTAATTTAAATCTGTCACGCATGAGTGATTAAGAAATCCGATCCGATCCAAGACCAACGTTGATGTTATTAGATAAAGACGCCGAATTATGTTTACCCAAAAGTTACTGATGTTTGATCAATTTAATACACCTGTGTTGTGTTTACTCGTCTCACTCACCTCGATTTAATGTGTTCCCATTGACAATCGCGAACAAAGGTGCCTGGGACATGATCACGTTTCGATATGCGCTTTGTATTTTTTTCTAGGTGTAAAATCATCCGCTCCCAGATCATTCTTCTGGTTCAGGAAATAACCTCGGTGGAGTGTTCCTGAACATTGTATATAGAGAAATTGCATAAAGAACAAAGACTCAATTAGTAAATAGGAGAATATATGCGAATACCAGTGAGATTATAGACATAAGCGGTGATTTTAGAACCGGCGGGCTTGTCACACGCTGCCTGTACGTTTTACTTCCTATCACTTTTGCATGTCTGCTTCTTTCTGCTTCTAGTGTCTTTTGCACGGTGGTGTCCACGCGATCGCTTGCAAGGTAGCACTATGCTTTCAAAGCCCTAAATAGATTTATTAGTTTTATTTTTATAATCAACATTTCATTATCATCTTCATCGACATATATAGTGTTTCTTATCTATTAGTTAGGTAAAATCATTTCTCGAACCACTAAATTCTAAGGTCGAGTAGTAAGAATCTACTCCGTCATACTGACAGGATAAACAGGTAACGATAATAAGGTTGTGGTATGCACAAGTTTTTGTCTTTGTAGTTTGTGATATTACTAGCTAAGGGGAGGATTCCACACATTATGATAGTTGTACTCATATTACCAACAATCGCTTTCTAGATCTGAAGCATAAGATAAGGGTATTCCTGTTGAATTTATAAGGCGGGCGAAGAGCAGTTATGTCATGTAAGCTATGTTTGCTTTGTGATCCATATACCACATTCATGTTTGATAAATGGACACTAATTAGTCACCATTCTAACATGGTGGAAATTCAATGACGGCATCACGAGTGATAATATTTTTTGTGCATTTAGCATATTTTTATGTGTTTGTGTACTAACAGTGATTTATGCATGAATTTAATAATTTAATCATAGACCTATTAATAAACATTGAATAGGCTTGGATAAGTTACTCCATGTTTTGTCTCTGTTTATTGAATTACAAATGGCATTTGAATGACATGAACAAAACACGGCGTAAATAGTCTAAGCTTATTCCTTGTTTATTAATAAGGGGGAGAAAGTTTATATATAAAGTTAGTTATGGAGTGTGTATAATAATCATAATTCGAGAAGAAATAGATACATAACAGTAGTCTGGTTTTGAATGATAGAAAACTAAATAAGTAGTTATATAAATAATAATGCATAAATTGAACAGCATGTATATAAGCTCGTTGAATAGTTTTTGATGTAACGTATTACGTAGTTAGCACAAAGGTATTGGTTGTGGTGGATTGAAGGGTTTTTCCTAAAGGAAATGAATGTTTCAGTGATCAGCGTTCAGTCAGGCGGGGCTAGACTGTAATAGGTTGATCGTGGCTCCGACCCGCCACATATTTAGGAGGTCGCAGTGACCTCCGCCGCTCCACCAATCACCCGCATCTGTAGGTTTATTTTAATTTCATTTACGTTACGATTCGTAGTGTACGAAAAATGTAGCTTCTTTTGTTTTTTCATAATTATAAATGCTTGCAATAAATACATTCACCACTTATCACCAATGTGACGACTTATATGTTAAATGTATTCACAATTGTTGTTACTTTCACTGTCAATTGTATATGTACAATATTGTTTAACACTGTAGTTTACCAACATGCACATTGCACCGTTCGCCGGTCTCACTTTGACGCGACGTTGATCTAATGGTTGTGTTTCACAGATGATGGCGAAAGGTCGGGTGGAAATGGTGGTAATAGTGCAACGAGAAGCGCTCAAGTGTCAGTTGCGTTTGCACTTTTAGCCACTACAATAGCTTGGTGGACGGCGCACGCCTAGCAATTGACACGAAGAGCCCTCGCGCGCCTAGCCATTGACAATAGAAGCCGTGCCTACGCCCACGTCTCGGGTGCGCCCCGTGCCCGCCCCGCCCGCGTCACCGACTGTGATCGTGTGTTGTTGAGTGCCTGTTCGCGTTCGGTATATTGTGTATAGCGAACGCTCTGCTGTGATGACGAATGCGTCCTTTTTATACTGTGCAAGAACGATAATTTAATTCGAAGTCATAGTTTTTATACTTAATATAAATAGATGATGTAAGTTCGAGTGTGATATTGATGTAAGCGAAGATTTTTTGTATTAAAATATTTAAATAGACAAAATTTATGTTGGTGTTTGTTTTTTTACCCTTTATAAATACAAAGATGGAGGGTTGGTAAAGAAATAGACGCTTGTATTTTAATCGGTTTATTTAACGTTTTTCTGGTTCTCCAATAATTCTTCTTAAGTTAGTAATTACAAGTTTATATGACAATATTTTTCGTTTTTATTCCATTTTCATAAACGTATTTTTTTTAATAAACATTTCCACAATTCATCATAACACGGTCGTGCGACCTACTGTCTCAATCGTTCTAACTCTTAGGAAAATGCAAATAATATTAAATTTCAAAATCTGTCTACAATTATGCGAACGTGATTAATCTTATTTCGAGTGTCGAACGATGTCTACATGCGACGGGGTACGGGCGCGGCTACGAGCGTGCTACGCCGCCCCTACGCCGTAGGCCGGTGTAGCAGGCTACAAGGAAGGGCGGATTGACATCTACAACCACATAAGTTGCCAATCGTAGACATTCTAGGCCAAAGAGACAGTGGCCAACAAGTCTAGGCCAAAGCCACAGCTGCCAACGAGTATTGGCGACGGTCGGCACTTGGTCCGGCTGCAGAGGCGGATCGACCACCGCGCTCGCGTCTCACCGCATTCTTACAGATTTAATCATTTATAAGGCGTAACATAAGACTTATTACACGATCACTACTCGAGAAACACCTACAACACATCCTAGATCATATCAATATATCTCAACCCCGCGTGCTGTGGCAGTATCCGCCGGCGCCGCACCTGCGCCGGCTTATGCTTACCTTTTTCATTTATTGGAGATATTAAGATTTACACTACACTACCTCTCTCACTATGAAATAGGCAACTTTAATGATATTATTTATAGCAACTTTATTAATAATGTCCAAACAATGTCCGGGGATGATTCGACGATATACGCCTTTCATACAATTTCTATAAAGTGCAATGTTGTTTATTCGAAATGATATTTTGATGAAAGACTTGAAACGCCCAATGCCTTTGAAGTCTTCGTAATCATATATTTATATGATCTAGAACTCATTAGAAATAATGGGATCGATGCGATGTTGGAGTAACATCTTTCTATAAAAATGTATCAGCCACGCCAATCTCACTGGACTCAATGTGGAAACGAACTCGAAACAAACGCGCATTTCGAGAAATTAATTACGACTACAGCCCTATCAGGGACCAACAAAACGCTACAAACTCAACACAAAACATTCACATTTAAATAGAAACGACACTAATTACATATATCATGTTAATACTAATTTATGAACGGTCATGCAAATAAACCAGACGGTTGCTGAATTTAGAAACATCCGATATTTAGCTAAGCGAATTTCGATTCTATTCCATTTTAAAAAATATAACCGTGATAATAGAATGTATATTAATTATGGCTTGATACCCTTACTATTTGACAGTTATTGAATGTTACAAAAAATTTCATAATATCTACAAATTTGTACAGTTAGCCTAGCTAAACAGAGAACTTTTCTAACCAACATTATAAATTATTGTTACCCAACAGAATTTTCCAACTTAATCTAACGTTAATTACATTGATTCATACATACAAAATTATCGAAAATTGTAATAGGCAGCGCACCTTCTTGTAAAGGACTGAATATTTTGTCAGTATATTTTTTTTAATCATGAAGGTTCTTTTTGATGTAACGGTTTACAAATATGAACTGTTCACATAACACATATTAAAAAGTTGTGCACCTATTTATATAAGTATATGCAGTGAAATTATAAAATATCGCTGCCTATCCCAATTGCTAAATGAGCGAGAGACCTTCGGGCTGAAGAAATTACTATAAAATCACCCGTTTACTCGTTTGTGTCGGTATTTCTTTAAAACGTATCAAGTATACCTAGGTATTAATAATTTTGGATTCTTCATAAGACATTTTTTTGCATAGCAATTGTATCTTATGTGACTAACACCTTCGTCTTATTAATTGAAGGCCATGGTACTATTGTATATTTTCTCTCACTCGGACCACGTCAATCTAGTAAGAGCTAAGAAGAGCACACCCAAGTACAAGATGTTTATGGAAACTATACGAAACTAACTAAACGAAAAAATATGAATTAAAAAATATAAAAAATAAGGTATAAAAAAACTCCTTTCGATGCGTCTTTCTTGTGCAAAATATTATGATAGCCATTAACAATAACTTAATGGTTTTCATTTTTGAAACTTCTAATGCTCATTTGGTACTGGTCGAAAAATATCTATAGATTCATATAATCGTAGCAGTGTCTGGCTTGAATAAAGATTCATGGGCTCTAGTTTTTAAGATTTCAGTTTTTTATTATGAACATAACATTGTATTATTATTAAATTAATAATAGGGACATTTGGAGTTTTGAATTATTAAAATAGTTTAAGAATGATCGCACGAGACTAAGAATTACGGACCACCATGGACATCCAATTATTTCCTTGTCCCCTAACATCTCTATTTCTATTCGAGTTCTAGTATTTATTACGGCTTTTCAAAAAATTTTGTCATGTATAAGTTGGATCTTAAGTGGCTATCATAGTCTGTGAAGATTACAATACCAAGGGTACTCTCAGGCAGTCATTGCGTAATTATAACGCCAAATATAGATTTATAATAATATGTTAATAAAATCATAATAAAAGATACCATAGTGCCGAGTTCTATCTAGTTTTTCTTCTTTATATAGGTATGTGTAATTGAATTGAATTTAGCCAGATTAAAGAAAATAGTATCTCATAAATAAATGAATCAATCATTCGTTTCCACCCTCTTAATATCCTTTATAGTAAGTCGCATCACACTCTCCGGGTCTCTTGAGCGTCTTGAGCTTTTGGACTTTAACCATTTTAATTATAAGAAATTAGTCTGGAATATACATGAATTCTCGATGTTGGTCACGTAATCTGCGTTCGAATACTAAATAATGATTCTTGATTTTTAAATTATTTTTCGATCATTCTTCATAATTTTTAAAATAAAATGTGTTGTTTCCTATTTATGTGGACAGCCGTGTAGTTATTTCCATACCGATTTTTTTTTCCTTTTATGGGGAAAAAATATCTAAGAAATCTATTGTTGTTCTGTTATTGTTGTTCTCAGATTAATTTTGAAAAGACAATAAGTTAGATGTAACATGATGTCTTTTTAATGACAACAATGCTTCTTAGCAGTCATGAAGTAAATGTTAAAAGGTTTACTGAAAACGGTGGAAAAATTTAGATACTTTTCAATAATAAATCTGTTTAAAATTATATTAAACACATCAATGCAAAATGACAGTTTCGAGTTTAAAGTGTCTTACTTCATTCCCTTTAGGTTACACTTCTAATTGTTTAAATAATACCCCTTTATAAAATAGAAATTGAAGACTAATATTTATTGTTCCTCACAAATGCGTATATTTCTGTCATTGCAAAAAATCGTTAATATATATATGATAAATATCGTAGAAGAATAACTAAAAGAAAATGTAGGTTAACATCATGAATGCAGCCCATTTCTTAGATTGTTTTAAGTTTAATCGTATTCGGTATTTCTGTGTTCAATTGATTTAAATTATACAATTCATAAACTTACAATGTTAATGGTAAGTAATAAATACAGATACATATTTTTTTATCAATTTGGCAATAATATCGTTCGTTGTAATCAAAATCGGAAAAGAGTAGGTATGTTATTGCATAATACAAATGCCACATAATAATGGGTTATATGATTAATATCTTTATAAATTTTCTAATGATCCTGCGTGCATTATTATTTAGTAAAACTATTTAGTAAAAATATACGAAAAATAACTTTTCGGCTACTTTTCAAGCTCTTTATTGTAAGAATTGAACAAAATTTTGCCATTCTAAGAGTTTTAGAGAGTCTATCAATTAAACTCTGTTTTTTTTAACACAGATTCGTTATGTATTGTTTGTTATTATTAAAAAAAGTACTGTAATAAATTGAAATTAACGTTACGTTTTCAAAGTTAATATCCACAGCCGTTAGGTAGGTATTAACGTTATGAGCAAGGCCATATATATATTATATAGCCGTATACATATATGAAATAATTGATAACATAATTATATTGTAGGTAAGTAAGTATTAACTATGAACGCGAATATGATCGTGAACTCACTTAAATATGTTTGGTATAGTCTATTATTATTATTTTTGTATTGTTAAAGGCTATTATTTGGTGTTTCACTTATATTATTATACTATATCTTGAATAGGACTGTTTCTACAACGCTTCGAAATTCTGACACATATCGGACGACTCCGGAAGCAATTGTCTGCTTGTTTGTGCGTGCATGTGACAGTGAACCGATTTGTTGCGTAAACCTAACGTGAACGACTTAAAAATACCAAACAGTACAGCTAGTTAATTCCATTTGAGAATTTACAATGAAATGGACTCTGTGAGTACGTGCTGCCATATAAGTAGTACTTATAATAATAAAAAGGTTTTATCTGATAGATTCGTACAATCCGATTGTAACAAAACCGAAATTACGAATAACACAACGAGAAGTGGACGATGTTATCGGCAGCAAACGGAGCACTGAAGATTCTAATTTTCGTATTCCTAATAGATTACTTCTCAGTTACAGTTTACAGCTAATACATAAGTTTTCGTACACTGCTTTACATAATCAGCTTCTCTTCATATTATTTGTGCGTTAAACATTTACACTTTATTTATGTACATCAAAACATACGTATATTATTCAAAAACATAATGTACACACTATCACCAAACACTCAACGAAACATTAAAATATACCCGTGAACTATAACCTAAGGAGTATGGCACGGGATGAGCGCACCCGCTGACGCGCCGCGCCCGCGCCGCGTCGCCCCACTGCCGCCGCCGCGCCGGTGCCGCACCGAACCCCACCCATGGATCAGTGTGAATCTACGTGATTAATCAGTTATCCACTACGATTTATTGCTAAATTTGTGTCCCTACGAAATCAACCTCACGAACGAACGCCAGTTAGTGATATTATTCAGTTGAAAATCGACGCAGCGTCTCGATTCGTAACGACTAGTCATAATGGCATAAAATCTCTCTTGGGTACTTACAGGTACGTGGAAACAACTGAAGCGTCGACTTATGCATTACGATGCATCCTGTTTATGATTTATTTATTACGAACGGACGACCCTAAATGAAACGTGGTCAATGTATAAACAACATTCGAACCGAACTCCTCTCCTTTGGTCTTTTAATATCTACTCTAGAATAGAACAGTGAACGAGTGAAGATATCAAGAATGCAGAGTAGAAACATCCACAAAGAAGATGCACGGTCAATGTGTAAGTTTTAACGAGTGCTCGAAATTGATCCAATTAATTATGTTCTAGTAATTCTTTCTCTATTACTAAACTTTAGACACCTTGATAATTAATTAATTTATACATAGATACACGTAGATGTCGTAAAGAAGGCCCTGCAATGCGGGCGATGAAGAATCATTACTACTACACTGTTCTCGATTGATATCTATTTTTAGTCTCTGAAATGAGTTTTATTTCGACACTCCAATTACGTACTCTAATTAAGTTGCTTACATTAGATCAAAAACCCTAGAGCCACGAGGAATCGACGAAAGGAACAGTGAAGATTCTCAATTTTGTTTTATATAATTATTGACCGCGAATCGATCGTAGTAAACGATCCTTCTGAACTGTCGTGAATAATTCGAACCCTAACACCTACCATAAATTCTCTTGAAGAGCAAATATCACTATGATTCGACAATTTTACTCTGAGATAAAAATTACGATTCAAATTTTCGAATAGCCTGAAACATTAAATACTTAATTTATGCCAATTCAAATAGCATCGCTGCATCGGTTGGAGCAATGTAGTGTAGTAGGTTGGTTGTTGTGCTAACTTTGTCCGTGCGACGCTTTCACTTGTGAAAAGTGAAGGCACTAGGGATCACGAGCGAATTAGTTATTCGATTGAAACAATAACGACCCACTGATCTCTTGTCACTACACTGATCAACGCTATTAAAATACCTAAACTATTATGTTGCTGTAGTGGAACGCCCATTTGAAAATACTAAGAAAATAGATGTTTAGGTACTGTGAGCACAATACGGTAATAGTATATCGAGTGATATGATGGCCGGGACACCGCTGCGAAGTGTACCCTGTGTAGAGGGAGCGCACCCATCCATCACGCAGACAGACCAACAGACAGGTAGATGTCCGCCACGAACCAAACTCCTAAGAAGCAGTAATAGACCTTTAGCACCTTCGGTGACTTTAAGTATGGGAGTGGAAACAACAAACCGCTTTGACATTATGTACACGATAAAAACGTAAAAAATAACTTACTTAATATTATTATCATTTATCATTTGAATACAACAACTACATCCCCGCCCGAGGACAATATTTATAACAAATGTCCATTCAATAAAGTCTTAATAACCACTATATTTGATTTCGATCACATAATGTTCAACGATACCTCTATAATTTAATTTTTTTTTTTTAAAAGAATAATCGAACAAATACCGTCGCCTATACATATGTGAACGACTATACCCATGTTGAAGGTTGCGTCATTATCATATACTCGACACGATATACAATAATATATATATATTAAAATTAATTCATATAAAAATCATTTTCAACCATGTTACAACTGCATAATGTTGAAAGTTCATAAGACGGATATTTACATATAATTTTCATTATATGCATTAGTCATATTTTATTTCTTACAAAACAACAACTACTTTTAATTAATCCTAAGTTAGTTAGTCAATATAATGTATAGAACAATCACTAATTAGGCTTTCGTAAACAGCTGGCTGGCAAGAGCGACAACGGAGCTAGAACTATGGTCGTTGAATTGGCACAGACTGTAACGTGTAAGTAATTTGTCTTCATTTTATATAAAATCCAAGCGTGATATCGTATTACCAAAATACTTTTATTCAAATTAAATATGTCGAAATGATGATGCACCGTTTTCGCCCCTTCCTTGCCTTCATCATCTTTTCAATGCAATACAAAAATAATTCTCTAGAAACAGATTCCAATATTTTTTTAAAGAAACACGGTACTTCAAGTCAGTTTCGTATGTGAGGACGACTTTGGGTCCATGTATTTTTAATAAGCCAGTAAAGTGGTAGAACTTACTTCCGTAGGTAAAACTGACTGGAGTTTGCCTTTGGTAACTATGTAAATTATAACATCTCATGAGTTTAATATAAACTACACTTTGACGTTTCTGTTTTGTTTTTTAAATTATTTCGATACAATTTTAAGATAAAATTGATTTATTAAAAAAATCAAGTAAAACTATTAAAATTGGCGATGAACTTTCATGACACAGGTAAAGTAGAACTCAATAAAAATTACATTAATAACATCATCAACAAACGTAAAATTAGGTGTTTATATTCTGTTTACAAACATTTGTGCCGAAAACATTAACATATTGGCCGGATCATCGGCGGCTAACAGTGCTTATGAAATAAAATGCTTATGTTTCCTCTTCAGAGCATTTGGTGTTTCTATAACTTGGGTCGAACTATCTGCCACAAAATACCTTACAGTCTATAACGACGTCGCGTTCGCGGAGACGGCGGTTCACCGACCGGCGCCGCGAAACACGCGTATCATCGAACTCGTAATCGCACGTAATTTATTATCATAAGTACAGCACTAATAGAGGTTCCGATCGCAGTCCGACGATCGTGGGACGTGGCGGTGCGACGCACTTTAACGTAAAACTATAACCTCGAATCGCGCACATTCACTAGAGGCATGCGAAGCGTCCAAGGAGTCCGTGCGAGCGCGGCTAGGAGTAGCGCGAGGAGAAGGAGGGCTGTGCAGGGTGGGGGAACACGGTTTGCCAACGATGGAGTTTGGTATGGCACTGAGCATGAGGGTACGCGCTCTTCCACTGGCGCGCACCGCTCCGCCTCTGGACGCGGCTGCTCGCTCAGCCGAGCCTCACACCGGTAGCACAGCCGCCCCTCGCAGTACCAGTAGCAGCACTCGTCCGGTCCGTAGTTGGACTTGTTCGCCTGCGCACCCGTCTCCGGAATGCGCGGATCTGAAACACACCATCCCACCATTAAATCAAAAATAAAACCCAAACTCTTCACCAGCACGAAATTAAATCATCCTAAAATTACACTCTAATAATTGTGTGCCAGAAGCGGAAGCCCCCGCTTCAAATCAAATCCGGGTTAAATCAAAAAGCAACAACTGCTCTAAGTTCTTAAGTAATACTTAAGAGGGAAAAGAAAAACCCCTGCGGCTAACAGACAACACTATTTGTTTGTGCCTTCTCGTTTTGAACTGCAGCCAAGCATTGGAGCTAATCGGATTTAATTCATGCCCTCGCTCCAACTGCGCCTCTGGGCACACTTTCTGCCAGCATTCCCACTTTGTAATGTTTTTAATACAGATAAGAAAGGAGTCCAGTTTTTAAATATTTTTTATTGTAATTGGAGATTTGTTGCTCTTAAATAACTTTTATTTCTGTTTGTATCTTTCAGCAATGTTATATGTTACTTAGTAGAAAAAGGACTTGAAATGTGGAGATGGGGTGTGGGTGACTCGGGAGAAATCACGACGAGCGTTCAATGTGATATCAACATTTTATTAACTTAACCTACATCTTATATACTACTTATAATACGTATACGACGTGCTTAGGGCTTAAATACCTAATCGTATCGGGGATGATTATCATCACGTAGAACACGTGATTTACACTTCACCACAGAAATCTTTATATCTTACTAGTGGCCCGCCCTCGCTTAGCTGCGGTGTAGAGCTGTAGTGTAGACTATAGGTTTTGTTCTCAGGCTTGTATTATACACAAAGAATTATTTACATAATTATAAACCTTCCATGAAAATTTATTTAGCTGAAAGTGAGTGCGTAGTTTAGGACCGGTTGTACCGAATGCACCATTTTTTTGGTTGAACGCGCAAATCTCAGTAGCTAATAAGTATTTTTGTGTTAGATATTGCATTTATTGAGGAAGACTTAAGGCTATATATATAATATGACGCTGTAACCAATAGGAGCGGAGTATCGATGTAAAATGTTGCAAAAACCGGTAAAAATATTCCATTTGGTTACACAAAAATCATGTATGACGGAATCGTTTCCCTTTAAAAGTTCTATAAAAAGGCCGCGACAGCATATATCCTTCTTTTAAGCTTGATTTACTATACCCTTTTTCCTCAAATTAACGCGGGTGAAACCGCAGCAGACTTTAAGTTGTGATAATAACTGTAATAGTTACACATAATTATGATATTGTGGACTTTTTTGCAAATATTAATATCCTCTGTAAAACTTAAGTACATCACTTTGCTCCTATTGCCAATGACATCCGCAGCGTAAGCGATATAAGGTTATGTTTTGGTATTTTTTTCACACCCTTACATTATCGATTTTTTCATACGGAACCCTATTTTTTTTGAAAATACTCTATAGCCTATGTTCATCATTGATAATTTAGGATTCTAAATGTGTAAGAATCGGTCCAGTAGTTTCGGAGCCTATTCAATCAATTCAACAAACAATCAAATCTTTCCTCTTTATAAAAATAGTATAAATACCAATATTACATTTGAGATGTAGGCGAGCGAAACGTAAAGTTACGTATCTGGTCAAACTACTTTCTTTTTACAATCCGGAGGTTTTGCGCCCGCTGAATTTAAATCACAACTCATTTTCAATCAAAACCACCTAAAACTGTGTTAAAATTACTAAATTTATAAATAAAAATCACGCCGAAAGCTCACTGTAGATATGATATTCAGTTTTTTACAGCTCCTGTAAAATTTTATTTTATGTAATTATACCGTTTTGTTCGCAAACTCCTCATTTGATTCAAAGGTCCAAACAAAGACAGAACATGAACAATCATGTAGAGGCTGCTGGGGGCGAGTCCTCATTCTTACAGTGTCGTGCGTAAAGGATGTCGGCAATTATAACAAAGACGTCTGACTAATGTAGGAATAATTAGTCTTATTGTGCTTATAAAAATTGGTCATTATATTATGGCAACCATGTCGTCATTTCCTATTCTGCAAGTGGGTTTGGCCATTTTTCAGGTTAGTGTGAAAAATCGAAGATTCGATCGAATATCTCTGGTTCTATTCATTGTAACTCGAGCACTTTAGCTATTGGACCTTGGAATCAGAGCCATGTACGTTAGTACTCAACAATAGGTTCTAAGTGAATCAGGAGTTATTTATTACTCTCCCTCTGAAGTGAAGTGTGGAGTCCAGAATTTATTAGAAGCCAACAAAATACCTGTTTCTTGTTCAGGACCCCGGGTTGTAAGAAAAAAGGCATAACTACACGAACATGAATCCCATTTTGAAATAGTGCCATATATTAATTTTATTCGCACTGTAATATTCAATTCATTTAATTCAAATCAAATGCATTTATTTAGACCAGCAAGGATAAATCGACGCATGGAGGTATCTAGTTGGACACCTCCACGCGTTTTTGGGTTAAAGGGTCTTGACAGACAGACAGACGGACAACAAAGTGATTTTATAAGTGTTCCGTTTTTTTGAGGTACGACACCCTCTAAATACCAAAATCGACTTAATGAGAACAACAACGCAAAAAAGTTAATGGGAAATAATACCTAATACTTATCCTTTATCACTTAAATCTAAGCTTTTAACTCAAATTATAATAAAACTTGAAGACACTGTCAAACGAAGTTACTAGTATAGAAATGGCACTGACTCCAAATATTGTTAATTTATTTTTTGTATTATTTTTGCATTTTTAATGTTGGGTTTTTTGGTTTTTAAAACAAATTTTGTTTTGGTTTAAAATGTTTGGTTTAAAGTGTTACTTGCAGAAAATTTTCCAAATCTCTATTTAACTAAAACTAGATTTATACCATAGTAGTGGCCCGCCCTCGCTTTGCTTCGGTGTAGAGTTGTAGTGTAGAAGTAGAACTTTTTATTAGCTGCAGTAAAATGACGTTATGTGGGTTACCGCTTTTTGAAGAAAAATAAATAGGGATGTAGCTAAGTGAGTAAGTGAATCATTCAATAAATGAGTGATCAGTTTGGTTTTATTTTAGAGATTTAATATTGTATCGGTGTTATGCGTACTCTTCAATAAAGCTCAGTTATTTACTTGAATAATGCGTATATTGCGAATATAATTACAAAAAAAAATAAAAATTAAACGAAAATTGCGAAAGAAAGTTGCGCGTACAAAAAATTGTATTGCGTAGAGAGTGAAGTGTAGAGGGGGATTTTTTGATCACGTGGGTCAAAGCTGCTTCTACTGGTAGAAATGGAGCGACGTTCCGGTGAAGGCAGAACTTCTTACTCATGCGTCAACAAATGTTAAGTTGTAATGTTTTTTTATTCTATTATTATTACTTTAGTAAAGGATTGATCTTTTTCAGTGGGAGTATAAGGACGTACATCCAAAATTAAACAAAATTGTCATAACAATGTTATTTATTAATCAATCATTTTCGGAATCACTATCGCTTCCGGTCACACTAATGACAAATCTGTCTGTCACTTCATCTATAATATGATCGAGGTGGCACATTTTGTCTTCCTCTTTTGTAGTGTGAGACACACAGTCACTCCACTTAGTCGGTGTCACTTTGTTGATTCCTTCTTGGAATAAAGTTTTCACTTCTTGCATTTTATATGTTTTATTATTGTTTGCGACGTGCCCCTTTACCTGAGCCCAAACCAACTCGATGGGGTTCAATTCACAGTGATAAGGGGGCAGTCTTAAAAGTCTGATACCTTTTTCAGCAATCTCGTCCACGGCATATTTCTCAGTATGATTGAATTTTATACTTCCACCACTCCAGGTTTTTTTTGTAGTATGACCTGAAAGAACAAAAAATAATCATATGTTTCGACAGCTAAAAAAAGGGGATCAAACATAGAAAACTAAAAGAGTTGCCACTTACCAGCGTTGATCCAGATTTCGTCTTGATAATATATGTATCTTCCCTCCCTACAATATTGCTTAATTAAACGCAGGTAGCGCTGGAGCCATGATATGATATTTGTCTGTCAATAAGTACGCTCTTGCGTGTTCGAGTAGCGAATTTGAAATTAAGATGCTTCATAATTTTTCTCAAAGTCTTTTTCAAAAAGTTGGGCAATTCTGAGTCATCATTTACAACTTGCAGCACCTAAAAATTATTGACTTATTATTACCTAATTGGTTAAAATTTCACATGGGGTGGGAGAAAACATATTATACCTAACGAATAATAATAAGATTAGTGATGACAGGTAAACTAACCTTTGCGATGGTTGGTACTTCATTTCTATGACAGAACTGATGTACAAATCGTCTAATAGCGGTGAATGTGAAATCATCAAGTTTTTCTTTAAATGTAAGTTTTGGGCCAGAGTTTTCGGGAGCTTTTAGTGATTCACAGTCGTTCTCCTTGTGCTCCTTTAAAACGGAATAAACAGGATATTCTCAAGACTTCAGCCACCTTGTTGACGCATTCAATTGTTTTTGGAACTTAAATGTTTGATTCCGTAGATTTCACTTCAAACACATATTTTTAAACGTTTCTGACCCAACGTTTCTCGGTTGCACTTAAAGCTACACGTGGCCTTATTTTCTTAGGAGATAAAAATGTATCTCCATCTTGTGATGTGCTCAACTGAGCATCCATGTCTTCGATGTAACAAACAAAAAAAGCTGACACGATTAACAAAAATAAGTAGGTAACGAAAAACAAACACAACGTAACAAAAATTTAACAATAAAGATAACTAGAACAACTCGCAGTGGGCAAAGCAAAGTTATTCGTGCACTCAAAATAGAAGTTAGAAGCCGAATGAGCGAATGACAATTAAAATAAAATGGCGGACAGGCGTCATCGTAGCACCGTAACTGAAAACCAGTACCAACTTGAGATTTTATACAGCCTTTTATTTATATGAATAATAAATAGAATTAAGTATGATCATTATGAGTTACTTATGGAACGATTAGATTTTCTGTGAACCTAAGCACATCCCTATTGAAATTAGGCTGTCAACATTATTTTACGGAATGACATTTTGAAACGTCATTTTACTGCAGCTATTAAAAATTGTTTTTGTATTGGACAGTGCATATATCGAGGAAGGCTATATATTAGCCGGCTACGACCAGTAGCAGCGGAGCATCGATTAAAAATGTTGCATTTGTGAGATTCCGTTGCGTGCTCTGGGTAAACGGTTAAAGTTACACAAAAATCATTTATGATGGAATTCATTCCCTTTAAAAGTTCTGTAAAAAAGCCCACGACAGCCTATGTCTATATTTTGACTCACTATAAACCTTTTTCTTCAAATTAACGCGGGTGCAATCGCAGGGGATCCCTAGTTATGTCACAACTAGGGATCCCCTGCGACTTTAATAGTTAAACATATGGTACCGCTGACTTTTTTGTAGATATTGGTATCCTCTATAAAACTTTAGTACATGACTTTGCTCTATTGTCAATGACTTCCGCAGCGTACGCGATTTAAGGCTATTTTTAGGTATTTTTAACACACGTTGGGTTACATTAACCAAGTTTACATACTAACTTTTTTGAATATATACTATAGCCTATATTAATCATTGATAATGTAGCATTAAAATGTTAAAGAATTTTTAAAATCGGTCCAGTACTTTTCGAGCCAATTCGTTACAAACATACTTACATATACACCTTTCCTCTTTGTAATATTAGTTAGTATAGACAAAAATGACAAAATGTCAATGTCAATTTGACATTGTTGTATGGGTTGAGTCAAATTTTAGTTAAAACGAGAATTTTAATTCATTGGGTTTAAGAAAGATCCTTAGCGAGGCAAATGAAACGTGGGCTCACCCGCGTACTAAGTGGGGAAGCCAAGCGCGCGATCCACCAGCAGAAAGTATGGGCAGTGCTGCTCGACGAGCTGATAAACTGAGAGGCAGGGCTTGAGCCTGGCACGGGGCCGGTCGGGGCCAGTAGCTATAAGAAATATTCTTAGCGAGGCTAAGGAAGTAGGCTCTCCCGCATACTGAGTGGGGTAGGCACGTGCGGTCCGCCGGCAGGAAATAGGGGCAGTACTGCTCGACGAGCTGGCAGACAGAGAGACAGGGCTTGAGCCTGGCAAGGGGCCGGCCATAGCCAGAGTCAACCTCTTCTAGTTAATTGGATGTAAGGAAGATCCTTACCGAGGCATAGGAATGTGGGGTCTCCCGCGAGCTGTGTGGGGTAGGCGGGTATGCGGTCCGCCGGCAGGAAGTAGGAGCAATGCTGTTCGACGAGCTGGCAGACAGGGAGGCAGGGCTTGAGACTGGCGAGGGGCCGTCCGGGATTAGTGGCTACCTCTCTTAGTTATTGGGTATAAGGAAAATCCTTACCGAGGCATAGGAACGTGGGCTCTCCCGCGTACTGTGTGGGGTAGGCAGGCGCGCGGTCCGCCGGCAGGAAGTAGGGACAGTGCTGCTCGACGAGCTGGCAGACAGAGAGGCAGGGCTTGAGCCTGGCGAGGGGCCGGCCGGGCCCGGCGGCGGCGGCGCGCACCCAGCGGCCTACGACGCCGCCGGCGCGCCGCCGGTCCAGGTGGCCGACGCGCTCGAGGTGCCGCGCGCGCCACCGCGCTGCATGCTCGGCCGGCGCGCGCCGCGACCGCCCGCCCTCCTCGCCGCCCTCCTCCGCGCCCTCCTCCACCCATAGAGGCACCATTGTGCTGCACGCCCACCGCCGGTATGTCTCCTGGAATAAAGGTATTGCGATTTTCAATAACATTGTACTACTACATAGGTAGGTATTAGCAGCCTATATAATTTAAAGCACATTTTATCGGCATAGCTCAAAAAAAGATTCTGCGTCACATGATGTTATCGAACAATTTTTCTTAGGCGTGAATGTAAGTAAATTAGTGCCATAAGTTTAGTACTATGCACAACTTGTTTGAGTGGTAAAAAGGTTCTAAATATTCTGTACTATTAAATAAGTGCAGATATCCAGATAATGTACGTCACGTTTTCTTAATTTTCTGTTATAAATCAATAAAACTTAAATGAGTAGGCAAGTATCTAAAACTATTCGAAATCATCAGGATTGGATCAGAAATGATTTTATTTCCGTATAACCGAAGCTAAATACACTGGTCTGCAATACTAGAATAACATTTAATAAATTTTTTTTTTGTCTATAACTATAAAAGTTTGAGATTTATAATAGAAAACATTTTATAGCAAAGTTTATCAGCTTTCTTAGTGTTACTCACACAAAATTAAACTCTTTTTCGATTCCATTTTATTTCGAAACTACACTTCTGGACACATCTATTGGCCCACCTTAGAGTTTAGGTTTCGATGGCCCCTACCGAAATATGATTGCTAGATTGAACAAAAACTGTTGATGCAGTTTTAAACCTGATACATTTTACCATCTTTTTTGATCGTATTGTTTTAAATTTGAATTCAGAATACCATACGACATGGAGCTACGCCTAACAAGTCGGATATGCGCCTTGTTAAAGGCAATTGGTTTTTTAATAAAAAACATGTTTTATCAAATAAAGGTTTAATTTAATAACGCGTGTTGCCTCCATGGGCATCTACCACAGCTCTCATACGATTAGGCATAGAGTTTATCAACCGCTCTATGAAATTTTGAGGGATCATCTCCCATTCCTCTTCTATGGCAGTTTTCAACTCCTGCATCGTCTGGGCAACTGGCTGTCGAGCCCTAACACGTCTTTTTAGCTCGTCCTACATGTGCTCAATGGGGTTCATGTCTGGGCTTCTGGCTGGCCAGTCCATAACTGTGATGTTCACATCCCGAAGATATTCCCTGACGATGCCGGCCGCATGGGCTCTTGCATTATCATGCATAAAAAGGAAATTTGGGCCCACATAGTCTGCGTATGGTATCACGTGAGGTTCTAAGCACTCACGAATGTACCTTTCAGCATTTAATGTTGGCAGCTGTGGTCCTGTAACAACCTCAAGTTGAGTTTTGCCGCTCGCGGATATACCTCCCCCGACAGTCCATGAGCCACCACCATAAGCAACCCTCTCTTCAAAGCAGCATTGTGCGAAACGCTCTCCCTTACGTCGGTAGACCTTCTTCCTTCCATCATTGCCATGTAAGACAATTTTAGACTCATCAGAAAAGAGTACACGGCTCCAATCTTGCTGTGTCCAGTTTAAATGACTGCGTGCGAAATGAAGGCGCGCTGTTCGGTGGGCTCGTGTTAGTTTTGGCCCATTAGCTGGCTTGTGTGGTACCATATCGCGTTCTTTCAACCTTCTCCGAACAGTTCGAGCGCTCACAGATACTCCGTGGAAGTCGCGAATTTGTTTTTGTATCTCAATGGAGGTAAGGTGACGATTTCTCAAGCTGGTCGTCGAAGTATCCATAGATTATTGATAGAACCTCACCTTAATGTTAAGAATAAGTAATGTTTGTTGCAAAACCAAAGATATCAATCACTTTTTCAAGAATTAAATCCAAGTAAACCAATAAAACCAAGTTTTCTTAGTATTCGATTGTTTGATATCAACAAACAGGCTCCAAATTGTCTTTTGTTTCTTTAAATTCTGTGTTCGAAATTCAAAAAAAGACTATTGAATGAGATTGTGAATGTGCCAGGTTCAAAACTGCATAAAAACTTTTTGCTCGACCTAATATAAAATTTCAGCTAGGACCAAACGAAACTGAAAATACAAGGTGGGCCAATAGATGTGTCCAGAAGTGTATATCTTGTGTACTTAAAAATTTATTGCAATTTTAAATGTGCTATGAAACTGGTTACATTAACCGTATCTATTTATATTCGCTTTTGTAATATAATATCCACAAAATATCCCTGGCCTTAGTGTCTGTTGCTCAATCCCACAGAAACAACAGAATGGATTAGTACCAGGATACAAAGGACTAGAAAATTCTAGAAAGTTGTTGGATAACCAGGAATCGAACTACAGAATATTGCCTACTTGAAAATTGGTATAGACACAGAGGTCTATTTATTTTGCGGTATATACATGTCTTATGTAAAACAATATTCGGGTAAAATAGTATTTTTATCATTCAGTAAAATGTGTTTCATTTATCTCTGACCCCATTTCTTAAGTTAACGCGGACGAAGGTGCGGGGGCAGAAGCTAGTTTTCTAAAAATAATTATTACTGAAAGACTCGATGACTTGGCTAGGTTCTTTCAATAAACCTACCAGCAAGGGTAGACCTAAATCTTAGACGCTATAACTAGAAGGAACGTTTTGATTTGCGAGATCTTTCAACGCTACGAAAACGCGCTCTCGACGACAGCTGGCGTCCCCCGACCCTTCTCACTTTTATCGTTATTCAGCATTTTTCACACCCGCAGGAAATCACGCTTAGGCGCCCAGTGATTAATTAGTTATCAGCCGACTCGCCGCACGCGAGCACCTATTTTCCAGCGTGACGTAGATATATGTGTAAATAAGCATCCTGAACAAGCACACACACTTGCTCGCTAATTTGTGTAAGCAGCGCGCACACAGGCTCGAACCTCCCATAAAGTTTAACTGTGTTTGTTAATGACATAATCTAGGCACACCTTTATGGGCCTGCGCTTAACTGAAACCACCCGAGTCGTTATAACAATGGAAATTGTTCTAATATTTGTCCGTCGTCGTTACAGGTTTTGCAGCAGTCCAGCATGGCGGAAAAGAAGGAAATATTTTTATTAATTTTGATGTGTAAGTATGCAAACATAATTTTGTTGTTTAAAGCAACAAAGATAAAACACATCATTCAATCAATTAACCGTTATTAAGCCTTTAAATAGCTATTATAAGTTGTAATTTTGAATTCTATAGCAATAGCAATATTTTAGCGTCCTAATTCTAGTGTGTCAGCGTAGCACAAGCAGGGCATGCAATTCGGATATCCATATTATTCGGATATTCGCCATAATTAATTTTCGAATAGCATCTGTATAATTATTCGTTTTTTTTACATTCCTTACCTAGTTACTTTTTATTTTGTTTTGGTAAAAATATCCGAACGGAAACATACAAAGTGATGTTTAGAACATGCACGTATCTGATTTTGCGTGCTCAATGCGTTGTACTTCGTAAATATTTTTTTGACGCATAAATAAATTAAATTGAAGCAGCTGAGTAACAGTAAAAATCAATAAGATGTGTCGCTGCGAAGAGAAAACTGTGTTATTATGATGACAAATGACTCTACGTCATATGATGTTATGTGGCGGCACAGTTTCGACGCGAAGATTGCTGATGCAATGGTTGAGAACTGGCACTCCAAAACCATGCCGTCCTACACAAATGTTTCTTCACGCCTCTTTAAATGGAGCCCAGATTATAAGAAGGAGGAAACACGTACGCGGGTTAAGAATTAATGTGGGCTACCTTGCGAATAGTATGACAAAGAAAAAAGACACCAAATTTCTTTTTTCGTGTAGGAATCGTTGTTATGGTAAGCCGGTGCGGCACCGTAGGCTAGCCTGTGTGGTCCTCTGAAAGAAAGGGAAAGATCCCACCTTGCCTAAGCCTGGAGAATAACTCCTCTGAATACTCGCCGTGGTATTGTTGATAAAATGCGCTTAATGATGTCACATCGTGGCGTAATTGTAGGGACTACTAAAAAGTTTACAAACATTGAATAAAGTCGTATTCGAAAGATTCATATTATTCAAATATATATAGTGCCTTTTTCGAACGAATAACGCATGTCCTAAGCACAAGTGAGACGGACGTAACAAGCTCAGCAGTGCAGTAAAGGATCCACATCGGATCCGCGCGTGAATATTTTACAGAATAGCTCTGCAGGGATCGCGGCTCGTCAAGGCGTGATGAATATCGGTCCGGATGGAGACATCTTGTAATTAATACTCTAGTTCAGGAACGCTCGGGATGCCCGCCTATTAGCATCACAGCTGGGTTACTCTTAAAGAGCCGGTTGATTAAAAAGCTTGCGGTCCAGGCCAGATAGATAGAGGTAACACGGGACCGATAATGAAACCTGCACTTTTAAAAAGATTGTATTAAAGCAGCTAATTTTTCTATGAAAAAGTAATCTGTGTCATATTTATTAACTTTTCGACCCACATTTTCATATTTTCGACGGTGCCAATGTATTAGCACAAGTGAAAATATATTTTTTTACAGGAGAGCGGTTTGTAAGTCTATTTTTCTATAACTAAAATATACATGCAATGTTATTCAAATTGGGTAAGTAACTAGAAATTAAAGTTAAAAAAAAAACATTGTAAACAAATACTTATATTAAGTATTTCATACTGTATTATGATATTTGTTAATTTCAACTAAGTAACTACCCATATTAATTTATTACGCGTCGGGTAACCAAAACGAAAAACAGTCCGATTACGGATACTCGACTCCGTTTATTTACACTTTGTCGTTTGTCAGAATTCCATAAGCAATCGTATTCGGGCTAGCGATCAACTGTAATTGCGCCATAAGTCATACTTTGCGATAACTAAATAATTATTGCACTATTTCATTTAAGCCATATTTAGGGAAAGACAGTTAAATTAAAAAGCGATTTTTAGATGTGCCACACCCAGGACTTTACGTCGGTATAGTCAATTTATTCAGAAGACAAATAAATAAGTTAATACCTAATACTATTACAGAAAAAAAATATTGTTCATTCAGCGTATCAAGTTTAGATGAGATTATTTCATTTAAAATAATTTTATTAATAACAGCACACTCACTTTTTCTGTAAAAGA